CCTTCGAAATAGGTTTGCTCAATTTACGCTTTTTCAATGCCTTGCTTTCCGCTCTATTGATCTTCTTTTCATCCTCAGAGTCACTAGCCAAAGGATTCGCTTCGTAATAACGGACCGTGCCCCACCCTCCTTCGCTGGTATCAGCTAACTTAATAAGCTTGTTCCTCTTCTTCAACTTATCGGAAATGGTAAAGATAACTTCTTTAGCGTAGTCAGGTTTGCTGTTATCTACTGCCCAGATTACCTGCGTCAAAAGTTCTTCTAGCTCGGTATTGAATTCAAACTGAATTCGGTTGCCCTCTTGACGCCATTTGGTGGAAACCTCGTCTTTAATCTTTTTAACTTTGTTAGAAGAACCATGTACTTCACTTTTTAAACTTTCCAGCTCGGAAGTCACTTGAGCCTTAAGGTCTTTTAACGATTCCGCCTGCGACTGTACGGACTCAAGAATTTGTTTTAGGGAAACGCCCTCTGTCTCCATTGAAAATTGCGCTCTCAAAAATTTACGTGTAGACTGATCTGCGCTAACTGGTCGAATGAACTACTGTCGTAACTTACCCACAATTCTTACCACTAGCACAACTAACACAATGTATACAGTGTCGCCCCCTAGGAGAAAATAATTCCATTCTTATTCACTTCGCTCAACCGAATAGAATTATATTTCTTATTAAAAAGCAAATGTCACACACAATGGCAGATTAATACGAAAATTTATTTTGAGTAACAGACCTGGTTTGAGATAACAAGAAATGCATTCTTGTTGTGTGATTATAACTACAAATTAGATATACAAGGATGGAAGAAGAGAATTGCAGCCTGTCACTTTATTCATAATTGTATAACATATGTGCATATATGAAAATCAACTTAAAATGTCAAAAACATTGTTGCTCAAAAGTTGATCAGAGGGGGTTTTCAAAAAGGGAGCCATAACACAGCCATGCAGACTTTGGACACTTTCAAAAACCAAAATGGTGCTTCTATATTTTGCCCCCTCCCTCCCCATTTTTAAGTTCTGAATCTGCTGGTGAACATACTCTATCAAATTGCAGTTCATTTTCATTGGATTTTACAGCAACAGTTGGTATCACTGAAATGGTCACATTATGTTAAATGGACACTTGAGCTCAATAGGCACTTAAAATCATTCTTACCAAAATCTATTATGTTGATGTGTTACATGATTGTTCTATAATAAGGGAGTTATTTGCCAATTCACATTTCTAATGGCCGGCACAAGTGAAACAGCAGACATTTCTGGTGCGATTCTCTTTACAGCGATCAACACCAAAGACACTGATGTATCCACGGCAGTCCAGGGGGTATCCATACCCAGGAGCATAGAACTGGGCTGGCTTATCCCCATACTCGCATCCTAAAATGAATTGGACTGGCTGTTAGTGTTCTTTGCAGACAAGGAATTTTTTTAAACAGAAGTTGATCACTATTGTTAAACAAAACAGTTCTGTTAAAAGCGATAAAAATTCAACTTTCTGTTAGATATATCATCAAAGAGTTCATCACACAATGGCTCTGACAACTGTTTACCTGGCTGGTTGTACTGCTGCTTGAGTCTAGCACAGGTTTTGCAGCAGATGTTGGCAGTGTTAGGGGAATAGCAGTTGCTGGCTTGAATAATAGGGCACTGTACGGGGTCCTTGTCTCCATACTCACAACCTTTATTTAAAAAAAAGGCATTTTAGTTCTATACCATTGTATAGTACAGTACTTTTTTCTTATGATTTATTTCCACATTTTTTATGAATTGTTAAATCCGGATTATCTTTATTATTGTACCTGAACAAGGCCTGCAATTTAAGTTTAAATGCAGTGTATTTAGGATGACAGCTTACATTTGCTATTTCATTTCCAAAGACTGTCATTTCAGTAGCCTGTCAGGACCAAAAGATGTGAGATTTTACTTTCTAGGAAGCAGAGATGCAAAATTATTCTGTTTTCAATTTTAACGTTTTTTTTTTAAAGCTAAGAACCTACCTGGCTGGTTGTACTGCTGCTTGAATCTGGCACAAGTATTGCAGCAGATGCTGGCAGTGTTAGGGGAATAGCAGCTGCTGGCTTGGATTACGGGGCATCGTGCTGGGTCCTTGTCCCCATACTCGCAACCTTGATTGCAAAGACATTTTTTCAACATTCAAATGGGGACGCACTGTATAGCACACAATGTTAAAACAACAAAAACTTTATATTTTGTCCCTGGTTGTTTAAATGTCAAAAATTTTTACGCACCTGGTTCAGCATTTCTATATTTCAACTGTGGGCAGGTCTGACAACATAGTTTGGAGTTAAATGGGTCGTAGCACTGGGAAGGCCGAAGGCTTCGAACACAATCTCCAGAACGATCTCCGTACATACATGCTGAAATAATTTCAGATAAAAGTGACTTCTCGTGCATCTACACTAGCAAAAATTGACGTTGTAGGTACTCACGAGATCGCTTCATGTATGTTACAGTAAAAAAAAAAATTTTTTTTTTCATTATGGTGGGCTTATAAACTGCATTATTATTTTAGACTAAGAAAGCACTATTATAAAGCTGTTTTATTTTGTTTTTAGATTCGTCAACCGGGTGGTGACAGCCGAGCGTGATCGAGCTTTCATAAGTTACATGTCATTTAAAACGCCTGCAAATTGCAATTAAAGTTATTTCCTCTTGATTTGCCCCTGAGAAAACATGAGTTCCGAACCGCGAATTTTGAGCATTGCTTTCAAACTACGACTTACACGGATCATCGGAGATCTTATAGCTCAAGCAGGCTTCGCAGCACTCCTTGCTCCTGGTGGCATAGTCGTAGCACAGCCACTTGTCTCTGGAAATTGCTTCACGGCAAGATAAACCATTGATGTACTGTCTTACACCAGTGTCGGGACAGACGCCGCTGCTCCCACTACTACTACTCCCACTGCTTGTTCCGGAGGCCGTATAGTACGGCTGGTAGACGGTTCTGGTTCCGTCAGTGTAGACTCTCTCGCCAGCGGTATACACCGGCTGCGATCCTACTGGAACAGTTTGAACCGTACGCCGCGTATACACTCGTTCGCCAGGGTAGACTCGCACGCTTCCAGGAATAGTTTGTACCGTGCGCCTTGTGTAGACTTGGTCTCCGCCCCTGTAGACTGGTTGAGCCCCACTTGTACTTGATGAGGTGCGACTGGTGTATACCCGCTCTCCGCCCGTGTAGACGGGTTCCCAACTATCTGTACCCCCGGACGACACGGTGCGTCGTTCCTGTTTAAAATCAGATAAGGCAATTATAAGAACCTGATAGCTGAAAATTAGAAGATTTATATTGAAAAAAAATTGAAACAAACTGCCTTTAAATACCGCCTACAAATTTATCTGATGGAAAATTTTAATTTTAAGGTTAAAATTGAACATGACGCCCAAGACCTATTTCTTATTTTGTGTGTAATAAAAAAGCCAGTAGGCCTATTACGTGCACTCAGAATGCAATCTATACAGATGTTTTTAACCAGTTGAAAGTCGGGTTTAAGGTTTTAGAATAACGTTTTATACGATAAGATGTACGTTTCCTGCGATAACTTCGCGCATCTTTCGTTGATGAAAAAGAAAGAAAGAAAATAACATGCTGATTAGGCATAATGATATGATTAACATGTCAATATTTTTATTTATTTATTTATTTATTTATTTATTATTCTTATTTGTGCTTTGATTGCTACAATGTACACTTTATTTCAAATGCTACATGTAATAATATGTCAATTAACTTTTTGGCTGAAATAAATAAAGTGAAATAAATTCTAAGTTAAATAAAACACCCTGTCCCGAGAAAAAGACCAAGACATTATTGAAAATAGTTTAAACGTGTTAATTGTCAGATTGCCAACAATCCTAGATCTCCTAGATGTTTTTTCTATGACGTATTTAGTTAATTTGTGTACTAAAAACAAATTAATAGTTGATTTCAAATGGAGGAGAAAGTGTACTTACGTAAACTATAGGTCTTGACTGCTCCATCGACAAGACGAGGTGTACAAACAGGAGTAAGATAGTAAGCAGCAGCATTGTGCTCAGTTTTTTGTTCTCTCTTTTCTTCTCACGCGTCTATTTGCAACCAAGTGCTTTTGTGGAACTAGACTGAAATTTGTTTATTTCAAAGCAAAGTCCTTTTGCAATGTAGGACGATGGAACAGTTTTTCATTTTCACTTCAAGGGAAAATAGTCATGGAGCAATTAGCACTTAAAAACACAACTGATTGTTTCTCTGGTGAATATTCAAATATTGAAGTAATTTTTGTTCTCAGAAATTATAGACATTGACAGAAAATATAGATGTATTTGTCAACAATGGAGTTATCTTTCAGCTACCCCGACTTCCCAAACCTTATCCCCCTTTATTTTACGTTAACTCATCCACAAAGCTACTTTCCATACGCTGCTCCTAAGTTTTGCAGGCGTATAATCTGACCTTGTCGCTTCCTACTTACGTCCGTGCTGTTTGTAAATGTAAAATTAACTTGACGCACACTTTTTCTTTCAAAGTCGAATTGAAAACACGTTTTTAGGCTGAAGTGGTTTTGCTAGAATAATCGTTAAACAACTGATAAGTGTTTGTTTGCTGGTCAATGTGCACGCGTGCACTCTTTTTTAAACGTTCAAGCTCTAATGTCCTGGTATCCGACTCTTTGAAAACTCGGATACAAAAGTGTTTATAAGAGTGTTTTTCTTTATTTCTTTTGTCATTGTACATATGCATTTGTCGTTGTACATATGCTTTTGTCATTGTCCTTTGTTGTAGGTATCTTTTTTTTTTTTAATTTTGTAACTTTAAGATAGTGCTGCATGGTTCACCATTCTCAGTAAACGAAGAAGGGGGCTAGCGGTATCTGACCAGCTGAGCGTATTTGCGAGTATATTACGTGACTAGTTCAATCCGAGAAAAATGTTATGTTTTTTACCATTGATTTAAGACAACGAATTAAGTTAACATATGTTTGTCGGAAATTCTTTTACTTTTTGACTATTGAATAGCTCTTAATAAAGGAAAAACTTCCCTCTGGCTTATCAAAAATACATAATAACATTTCGCAGACTACAAATCATTTGTTTCCATCCAGACAAAGCACATAGCTACATGTACATTAACGTAAGCCCATAAAGGCATAAACAAGCTATACAAAAGCAAAGCGATACAACACTGTGTCAATTCAAGCATCAACCCAGGGTATTATTCTCCATTATTTTTTCTTGCTGAACACAATGCGCCGCTCACACGGCCCTTGCAAACTTGATACCTGTGTACCACGACCAGTACATTAAGTTGAGCTGGTTGTGACCATGACAGGTGTGTCTGATGCTGGTTAAATAGGCACAGTAAGGTGTTATACATGTAGGCACCAGGCAAGACAGCTAGGAAAGAAATCGACCAGTTTCAGAGAGAACTTGGACGTTAAAGCTGAAACTGGTGAGCTTGGCAGTACCTCAGGGTTTGGCTGATATCCTTCGTGAAAAAAGGATCTATTAGGTATTGGCTCTATTGGGAACAAGTCTTTAAACTCTATCTATAAGTTACCTGCTCTTTTATTCACCAGATATTTAAATATTGCATCGCTACAGCTAGAAGTAGGCCTATCTAAATTTATCTGAAGGAGCTTTGTAGGTGTAACTTGCATAATATTGTGGGTTAGAAATTAAATTTGTTTAGAAAAAGCCTCCCAGAGAGTTTTACATCTTGATTACATCATATCAGAAATATCATACACATATTGTAAAATATGGCACGTCACGTATTTCTTCAAAGGCTCTGCAATGGACCGAGATTCGCCAGAAATAGAAGAAGATGCAAAGATAGTCACCGAAGGAGAGACACCTGATATTGAAGCCATAGAAAATGAAAGACTACTCAATTCTGATGACGAGGAAGAGGAGATGCAGAGGGAACAAGACATTTGGGACAGAATCCAGGATATTCAGAAACGATGGCAGGAGGCACGCCAAAGAAAGTAAGGATGAGGTTTTTTTAGACCCAGTTGATTTACTGAATGTAGTGTTTTTCTTTGCATTATGCTGTGCTCTATGAGATTCGAACCTGTGCTAAACGAGATGTGGTCGTGGCGTATGTGCGAAGGCACGGTGTCCTTGGTTTTTATTCTAATAGTAAACAAAACGATAACAAAAAGCAAAACGTATATCATCATTAATAATGTATGTCCAAAGTTTTCTTCTTACATTAATGTTATTTACACTTATAAATGGTTTCATAAACAAGAGAATTGACCCGTAGGTGGAAATATATCCTGAAATCATTGGTGTCCGATTATATCTTGTTTATTCTGTGAGCCACATAAGGCTAATAGACGAAAACGACTCTCATGTCAAATGAATTATCGATTGGTGCCTTTTTAAATTATTCATAAAAAGCAAGCGATGAATACTTGAATTGTGAATAACAAAGTAGGTGTAGCCAATATTTATGCCTTGTGAAAGTAATCTCCGTTGAGAATAATACAACCCGTGAAGTGTACTTTTCAAAATTGATGAGAAATCCTGTCCAACTGGGGGTCACAGAATAATGCACAAGTCAATATATTGTTGTTTATTCTGCTGGCTAAATCATCTGAATTGGAAAAGACTCGGATGTTATCTGCAACACAAACGAATGTGAAGAAAGCCTTGTAGATGTGAGACTTTTCATTCATTTATTTCAGGACATCACTCTTTATATGCATAGCACGCACACGTGGTTTCTTTTTCAGATAACAACATTTGGACCTTTAACGGTTGCAACTAAAAGATATCCACAAACCATTCGTGGAGTGCATTGTTTTGCTTTTCCTTTATAGGCTGCAGTTAACACAAAAGCAAGCAGAAATGGTGAAGCGATGGAAGGCAAGAGCCGCCGAAAAGGCACAAACCATTGCAAAGAAGACCTGACTGTATAACTCGGCATCATAAATATACCTGAGGCAATCTGAACTGGTTTACGCAAGGACGTCGACGTCCAGTGCGACCAATTCCAATGTAATAAATTGCGTTGTGAGATGGCAGTAAGAATATCGTAAAATAAACAAACTGAAGGACCATCTTTAGTAAATTTCATCCACAAAGATCAATGCAATTGTTGGAGTTTGTACTATAGAGAAAAATGCCATGACTGGAATATCAGAGGGTGACTTGGAACATATAAAGATGACTTACATTAAGTGTTATTTCTGTTAGTTAGTCATTTTAATTAACATTAAAATGTCCTGTCTATACTGTGTGTGCCAGTTTTTTAAAAGAATGAACTTTGTTTTTGTTGACCATCTATGATGCTGAACGCAATCGCACATTCGTAGAAAAAAAGATACAAGTCTCGTGAGCACGCAGTTTTAGACTGAAAATTGGGTAAAAATTGCACAATTCGAAGACCACAAAACACAGAAACTCCAATTTGTCTGTGTGCACAGTTGAAGCCTGTTATCAAATCGAAATAAAGAAATTGATACAGCCAGTTTTCATATAACAAAGATATTTCAGATATTTGATATCAGTGATGATCAAAGATAGTTCATGTAAAACGTGATTTTTCTTTTTTGTGTATTTATTTTTAATTATCTTTTTTTTTATTTTATGTTATTTATCTTTTTTGTGCTAAAACTTGATATGCGTGATGTAAAAATTAAATGCAAAAATTAATGTTGTTGTGATTTTATGGCAGGTTGAATAAGAGGAATCGCGGTAAACGCACCATCAAAATTGTGTTAGGTGAGACGGCAGTGCCAAAGCAGAATGGAAGACTGTGTACTGAATAAGGGGAAAGAAGTTTATTTGTTGATCATTTCATAATTTCATTCAAAAACAATGAAATACATACAGTTGAATACATGTACATGTAGTAGGTACATTAACTCTGTATTAAAGTATAAAACGCCACTTGAACATTATTGACAAATTAGGCAAGTTGCTGTCAACACATGGATATATGCAAAATGTCATGAATCCACCATCTACATACGGTCCTCATACGGTCGTAACCTCAGCTTTATCCTCTATCCGTATGAAAACATTGGAGCATACGCAAAAAAACTGCCGAGATGCATGTTCAAAGATAGCTGTATTCTGCAACAGGTAAGAATTTATCTATTAAAATTAGGCCTACTTATCTGAATAACAATTTTTGCCCAATTCTCAAAATTAGTTGTGAACTATATTCAACAGCACAACCGTAAATTTGCGGTCAATGAGTATACCAAACTAAGGTCTCAAAGTTGTGTTAACTAACTTGAATCACAGCGCTTTCTTGTCTATCAGCAGGCATCAAAATATTTGCGAAGCTCCACGCGGAGAAAGAAATGTTGTTACCTAGTTAATTTATGTAATATTTTAAGGGTAACGAACAACAGAAAAAAGCCTAGATACGTTCATCTGACACTTTCCAGTGGCGTTTGCTTTCTGTGCAAACAGCCGCTGCATGCATACGAGTGGCTAGAGTGTTAATGTGATAATCCGCTCTCTGCTGGACGTCTTCTTTACCAGTCAAACTTGGAGTGTTTATGAACGTTGAATTAAAAAGAAATAGTTGCTGTATCGAGGTGGGCCTTTTGTCAACGACGCTGAGCAATGTGTAAAATCTGGTAGTCTAACGTTTCTCCTCTGCCACCCCTTAGGACGATGGGATACCTCATGGGATATTTGCTTATACTGCTGAGCTTTAGCCTCCAGAACATTCAAGGTACATATGTGTCTTTTTTACATTGTCATAGTCTTTTATTACCTATATTGTGCGGAAAAATCATTAAAAACCTGCACCTAACTGATTTAATTCATTGTAATTTTTTGTTCAAATAAATATTTTAATATAATAGGTAGATCGGTAAAAAAAAAAAAAGAATGACTATTGTCGTATTAAGTATAATTTGGTAACCAGATACTGATGCAAATTCGATCAGCTGAACAACTTAAAGTTTTTTATAAAGGGAACAAGTGATTTATGTTCTAATCGTCCGGAATGCAACATGGAACGCCTCTTATTCTGGAGAAAAGAGTGAACTTTAACATTAATTGGCTTTTGCTGATTAAGGGAATTCAGTTTTGAGAGTAATTTATCTTTCACATTCCATCAGCAAATGTCGGTAATGAGCTCAAAATCCCATCACTACGTTTCTTCGTCCTCAGAAATA